ACTTTTTTTGCTAAATGCCTATAAACCTAAAACTAAGTAAAAAGTAAAACTTCCTTTAAAAAGCTGTCATCTAGGAAAATGATTCATTTGATCAAAGTAATCTATGAGGCCTAAGACAAAGACTATCACGTGATTATGTAACTTACATTTATGTTACTTAATTAACTGGAGTGTTACCCTCATTTTACGCAAAGATATGACATATCTTCATAGTGGCATGTAAGTAACAACTGTTTTATAAATAATATTTATAATGTCTTTACGAAATCTGTTAGAAATTTTAACAGAAACGTGACGTCTTATTATCCTCCCCTTTAACTTGCAATGTAGTTCAATAGTAGACGTCTTAAATCCTAAGGCCCTAAATTTTAAATACTATTTATTTAGCTTCAGTTTCCAACTATGTCTAGCCACAGTTATTTGCATCTGCCTATTTTGAGTTTTCATTAACATGGTCAGAGGGAGAAAGGGAGAGAGCGAGGGAGGGAGGAAGTGAGGGAGTGAGGGAGGGTGGGAGACAGAGACATAGAGAGACAGAGAGACAGAGAGAGACAGAGACAGAGAGGTGGGGAAGAGAGATCACACCTAGGAAGACATTTCTATCTAGGAAGACACATGTGACTCTATCAAAATCTTTATAGCAATGAGATGCTCATGCAAACATTGAAAAGAGATCCTGTGTAATGCTCTTTGGTTGCCCTTCAGTCTAATGTAATGCTCACAGTGTGTGTTCATGCAGGATAATAAGGTTTGTGAGAATGAAAATGGGTGTGTCTTGATAATTTTGTCATATATTAATTATCACCTATCTAATATCTGAGTTTCTTAAAACTTATTTTTTTTTAAAAATTGAAGCTCATAAATTCCCTTTTCTTCCCAAATATACTACAGTTTCTTCTTGGAGAGTGATTGGCATTTCATTTAATCCTCAGTTCTCACCCTCTATCTTCACCATATCATGGCTGGTTTTGATCATACCTCCACTGATTGCTCTCAACACATCTGTCCTTTGGGGCTTCCTGGGCTGTTTTGTGATGAAGGAATGATAAGAAGGAAACAATAGAACCCATCCATGCAAGAAACAGCACCCTTGTTACCAGTCTGAAAGGATGGTTAAGAAGAGAACATGCTTAGAAGGAAAACCCTCAGCCAGCCATTTGCTTTTATGTTTCTGGACAGACCTGTTGGTAGAAGCTATTCTGTTAGCCATGGTGTCTCAACAAAGACCCCTAGGTACTGCTTATGGCTGCCCTTGTGGTGGCCATCAAGGATCAGTTGGATCTCTTGCTAGTGACCAAAACAGATGATGAAGAACAAAACTATGTGAGTCAAAGCAAGCCATGTAGTGATAGAATGGACTCAAGTATTGTGAGTAGCTCAGTGGTCTTTCTCCACCACAAACCCAACTAAAAAGAAAGAATGCCATGGAGATTATGTGGTTTCAGTTTGCCAACTAAATAAATGGCTGGAGAGACTCTGAATGAGTGGCTGAAGAGAAGACAATTTTTCCACAACAATTTCTTTAACTACATGATATAAAAAATTGTCTAATGAAAATTACAAGGCCATCAAGAACTATCCTATATTCTTTCTAGGGGAAAACATAGTAATTAACTGTTGCAAAATGATGGATTTTACAAACACAGCTGTCACAACTGCTATTTTAAATCATTTGTTATGGTTTAAAATGTATAATCCCCAAGAAATTGATCATTACTGCAATTCAATGCTGATTTTTCAGTGCCTTACCAATTTTGAGGTTTGCATCAGCCTATTAGCTAACAAAAGCCAGTCATAAAGTACACAACTAATGGCTTATCTCTCAATGATGACTTTTCTCTCCTTTTTGGCACGGTTTTATTATTTTTTCCACTGACATTTCTGCTTGTGACTAAACCAGGTGCTCCCTGACATTCCATGTTCAGTTTTCTGTTGTATGGCCATCCCCCATTTCCTAACGTTTTTTGTGTTTAATGGCTGAGTGTTCCTAGTCAACATTGCCTGATAAAGCACATGCTTGTGAAGTTCTATGCAACTAAGACCACCATTTACTCTCCAGTGTTTTCAAATACTGTGCTGGAATCAAGTTTCGATTTGATTTTGGCATTTGTACTATCTTATCTCTTCCATGTAGCTTTCCCAACTATGCTAATGGAAATCAGCAAATAACTAGAAGAGATCTTCATCTTCACCTGAACAGCCCAAAGGTGTAGGAGAGTGTTATCAAATATCAATATCAAATATCAAATATCAAATAAAACTATTGAAAAGAATGGTGAAAGGAAAGACCAAAAAAAAAGAAAAAAAGCTTGGAAAGGTGTTTGACTTATTGGTCAGTTAGGAGCTGGATTCTGATGACCCATGAATTTCTTCTGTAGTTATAAGTTCACTTTCATTTACTTCTGGAACCTTAGCGTTTAAATTAGCCTTACTTTATTATTTTCAAGATACTTCCTCAAAGTGTAATTGGTCTTGAGTGTAGTAATTTGGCTTCCCAAAGTAACTGAAGGAGTCTGGATATTAAGAAGGAATACATGTCTTCTTGTAACACTCACAATTGTGTTTATGATCTTACCTTCATGTTTTATGTATATTAAGGTTTAGTCTTCAATTAAAGAAATATTTTATACATGTATATAAGGACACTATATATGGATATGTTTGTATGTGATCAGTCTTAAATTTAGGATTGTGTAGTATTTTCTGTTAATAAGATACATTCAAAATGCTGGCACTAATTTGCAGGCTCATGAAGATCAACAGCACAGTAATGAATTCTGCTTTTCCTGGAGGAAGCAAACTAAATAATGCTGTTTATTTGATTATCTAAATTAATTAAGAACACAAATCTTTGCCAAGTTGAAATTAGCACATTGAGGGATTTATTTTTTTCCTTGAGTTACTTAAAATAGATCTGTGAAAATAATGCATGTTTAGTTGTGAAGGCATTATATGTTGTTAGGATAGTTATTTAGAATTTTATTAATGTCTTTTTATGATAGCCTATATTCATTGTTCTGAATCCTTTAACCAATTCTGTTAGAAATTCAAAACTGTATGAGTAATAAGTCCTTGAATTTTCTTTTCCCTGTTATAGATATACATATCTTAAAACTTATGCCTCCAGTTTATCATTCTAGTACTTTTTGAGTATTTTATATTTTAAGAAGCATTACTATTCCAGTTCAACCAGTGGGTCCCTGTATATTGTTGATATTTCTATAGGAAAAGTGAACGACAAAATCCAATGTATGGTTTGGGGCTTTTCAATACTCAGTACATCAATGACAGTTCTGATTACTTTAGAGTACAAAACCTTTCTGCTTTCTTAGCACTTTCTACATTTATTTAATTTTACATAAAACACAAATCAGACCTGAAAAAGAAAAGGCTATACATAATTCACATTACAAATACTGCCTTCCTCACTAGAGCATGGCCTTCAACTCTCAGCAGAAAGCAGCTTCCACATAACCAGCAAACCACAAGATGGCACTACTGAACAATTAGTTTATTTCCAGAAGATACCTGCTAGATTCTCTAACTAGCTAGTCAAGACTAACAGTATTCTCCTTCAAAACTGACGTTAGTAACTTCCAATGATTTATAGTATGACAAGGAATGGGTAGTGGAGAAACTTCACAGGTCTTACATTAAGTGATCATGGTCACTACCTCATAATTGTTGTGATATATATGATGGTGCATATGGGGTGAGAGAATCTTCCGTTTATTTGCTCTTATCCTGCAAATGTGTATCCTGCAAGTGTGTAATCTCAGGATAATTACAAGAAACTACCAGATAAACACAAGCTGAAGTATATTATACAAAATGGTTGAACATAAATAAACTAATACAGTTCAAAGGAGGATTATGTCAATCCCTGACCACTATTTGAGAGAATATTAAGAAAATTCTTTACTTCATGAATACCAGCATTTAATGATGTTCAATTTCTTCACAAATGTATATTCACAAATATGAAAGTGATATGGTTCATATTTTGCAGATTATGCATGATTAATAGCTTTGCTAGTATGCCAAATGCTTTATATTGCACAGAATAATAGTACGAACAGAATAGCAGTTTGACCCATGAATAACCTCTTAGAATCAAAGAAAGAAAAGTTGTAATTCTCTGTGCCTACAGAGAAGTTCAAGGATGACCAAATAAGGTCACAATCTGGAGTACAAGGTGAAATTCAAATCTGGGAGACTACTGTTCAACCTAGTATAGTCCAAGAATAATTTTCAACTAGAGAACTATCATATAAGGCATTCTTCTTAACTTACACATAATAACACTGTGGAGAAATTTTTCTATTACCACAGCACAAAATAATTTGAAAATTAACAGCCACAAAATAATCTTCAATTAAAAACTATATATTTATTGTAATATTATTATAAATACATGATTTGCATTTAGGCTAAGACTACATTATTAAAAATCATTATAATTCCACTAAAAATATATTCCATAACTATTTTGTAAGCTTTGTGGTTCCTGTGATTCGAGATATATTAAAACATTTAAGAGTCTGTTCGATTAATTGTGTATCACTCTTATCAGTGATCACTATAGAAGAAATATTCAATAGAAAGATATATTTGCACAGTACTGCATGCATGTAGGTCAAAAAGTGTATAGTAAAAGTAAATATCTTCTGTTTTTGTTATTTTCAATTGAAAATTTACACTGATCATCTGGATTCTTCAATGGAGAACAAATTGAGAGTATTAATTACACTGAATAAACAATAAGTTTAGATGATCCATTATGTCCATGGCTTAATATAAGCACAAAAATATAAGCTACTTAATAAACTTGCTTCATTTTCAGTGAAGTGCTTTGGGTTTATTTAAATGTTGATAACATAGTTATGTTTGTTAGAAACACATATGTCCTTGCCATTATTTAATTATATTTCACTTTATTAGTTTCTGGGTTGCTGAGTAAATAGCAAACATTTGACACATATCAATTTCCTTTCTTTCAGGGAATCCATGAGAAGACTGGTTCTTTTGTGGCTATTAAAGTAATGGATGCCCGGAAGGTAATCAATACTGTGTCCTCTCTGTATTATGCTCACTTAATACACTGTACAGGGGATAAGCAACTCTAAAGTCATTGGTTTAAAATCATTATTTCATACATTAGTGAGTTAATTCAGAATAATTACAGGTTTGTAATCACAGGTATTATTGTATTGTAATTACTGGTTTGTTATATTTCCACATTAAAAATAAACCACTCATACCATAAATTCTAAATATTTGATATTATAAATCAATTGGAAAAGTATATTCCTCTCTATTTCCAGTTGATTATCTATTGTCTGGGATAGCAAAAGAGATATTTCCTTAAATATTGTGTTAATACTGCTCTGCTCTGTTGTACTTTTTCTCCAATCATTTCTTTTGAGAGTTGAGGTCATTAGATTCCCAATGACAGGTAGAAGGAAAGAAGTTGTCAGAGAAGCACATTTTTCATATATTTTCTGACAGATAAGCAAGAGAGAACATTTAATTGGCACTGTTCCTGCTAAAATTCATAAAATTGTGTCACAGTTCATAATCTGTTGTCAAAGAATTTGTGACAGACTGAATTCTGCCCACTCTCTTTAGTACTTAATTTTCTCAAGATGATATTAACACAAACATAACAGAAATTAAGACATTTTCATTTCATTATATCCCCAAGGAAAAATACTTGAAAGATTATGTGGCTTTATGGAACTGTTGTACCTTACAATGAACTGTTACTTTGCAATTAGTGAAGAAACCGAAGGGTACTTTTGTTTGGCCAGTAAATGTTGCAAACCAATGTGAGATTCAGGGGATTTGGGAGTTTTGTGAATTTATAAAACATAGTTCTGAAATAACCCAGTGCATTAAAAAAAAAAAAAAAAACTGGCTGGGCAGTGGTGGCGCACGCCTTTAATCCCAGCACTTGGGAGGCAGAGGCAGGCGGATTTCGGAGTTTGAGGCCAGCCTGGTCTACAGAGTGAGTTCCAGGACAACCAAGGCTATACAGAGAAACCCTGTCTCGAAAAAAACAAAAACAAAAACAAAAAACTGTAAGACTGTATAAGATAATTTATTTCCTTATTTTAACTTAGGAGCCCTAGAACCATATTAAATCTTTGAATATTTAAAAGTCATGGTAGGACAGTAAATGTTTAATATTTACCATCTGCATTTGTAAAAGGAAAATAACACTTTGCTAATGCAAAATTTCCCATTAATGTGTCAGTCACGTCCGTTAACATAAATTTGTTCCCAATTCACACATGCTATAAGAAATTGAAATTTTAGATTAATACTATTAGTGTAAAGCAAGAAAGGGATGATGTTACATTCATCTACAATTAGTGCTAAAATAGCACAAAATACTTCAGCATAAGTTATTGTAAGAGTATACTAGTAAGTCTAATAATATTTTTCTTTTTTTTTTCAGAATCCTTTGCCTGAAATAGGAAAGCGGGTGAGAGTGAACAAATACCAAAAGTCTGTTGGATGGAGATACAGCGTGAGTACTTAGTCTTCCTTGGCACCTCCATAGTCTTTCCCTTGATTTTAGCTTTCAATTTATTCTTTGCATTATCTCTACATGGGCTCCCTCTAAAATGCTTATGGTGGAAATGATAGCATGTATCTCTTCTACTATTCATATAGATTTACTCATCAGAGTTGAACACTGACATCTGTCAAAGAAGAGGGCCTTTGCACAGTAAATTATTGGCTGCAGGGAAAAATGAGTATGTCAACAGTGAATAGAGCCTTCACATTGGCCAGCCACATGGAAGAGCTGACTGTGCCAAGAATATTTTTTCTTAAAATTGACCTTCACAAAGTACTTTTTTATATGGCATACACCTTCTTTAGAACAAGTCTCTATTGCCCAGTTATGATCACAGGCATCATTACATTTGAGCCAAATTAATGGCTGCTTTTTATATTGCAAAACTAATAATAGAAAGCCAATCGAGTACCCTTCAGATATTTGTCCACTATACTTGGACACAGGAAAGAGTATGGACCACTTTCTCCTTGTAGAATTTTTGATATCTCTCTTACCTCAATATCACTGGTTTTGGAATAAGTTCAGGCATACAGAACTGTATTTCTCAAAACACCTTAGTTTTCTATCAAAATATTACATAAGCCTAAAACAAAAATTATTGTTCATTTCAATATATTTCATTGATATAATTTTTCTAGTTTTCTCTCCTGCAGTCAAATAAATGAGGTTCAGTTATTTTAAGCCTTTATGTCTTCATAGATATAGTGACATAAACATTAAAAATAACCCTTTCTATTAACCCAAACACATTTAGAATCTTTCTAGGTATATAAAAAACCCACTGTGAAATACCTTCATGATTAATCTGTTACACAACAGGCCTCTTTTAGTTTATAATGTATCATAATAGTAAAAACATATTCAGAGGAAGCAGCTATAACCAGCTTTCATAGATCAAAAATCTACCAGAAATTGAAGAAATCTAAAATAGAATTATTAGGTTAATTCTACTTTTCTCAAAAGTTTATATTAATAAAAAATTAACGTGTCCAAAATTTTCTAGTATTCTTTCCATATTAAAAAGGGGGTATTTTGGTTGTAGCATTGGAGGATTTACAAAGGGAATTCTGGCATCCTTGAGCTGCCTTTTGACAAAAAGCAGGATATTCAGGCCAGTCTGTGATCAACTGGCACAGAGCCAGGAAACACTGTAGCATCATATTACTAGGAGATGTGTGAGAGTTTTAAATTACCCACTTGGCCTGATGGATATTATGTACTTGTGTGTTTCTTACAAGCTCAACTTCTCGTTAATTGAGAGTGGCAAACACACTAATGCTTTCCAAACATATCTGATCTTCATTTATTTGTTTTGGGAGAGTTTACATTTATGTGGGAAACCCACTCTTAAAAGTTTTATTTTTTTTAAGTCATGTCTTTTGAATTCAATGATTAAGTTTTAGTAAAGGAACATCGTTGCTAGCTAATCAGTTAGGATCTCTAAACCAGCTTGACTATTTTGGCTAAAATGTGTGTTAGCTGCACATACATAGATCTTCTATAAAGATAGGACAGTATTTCTATCTTCTACTGTATTTTTAAAGGTAAATGGAAAACTGGGGAGAGAAGTGGGTTACTTACTATGGGGAGTCAATGGTAAAAAGAGAAGTGTACCAATCAATACTCAGATTTGGTGTTCGTTCCTGGCTAAGGTCAAATTTTCTTTTGATAGAGTTGTCCCTTTAAACTTTGCTTTTCACTTCAGTGATCTCATCTAATCAGGTGGATTTAATGATAAATAAATTGATAATTCTCAAAAAGAATACTTCAACATCTGACCCCATCCTGTAAGCATCAGACCCATATATCTATTCTTTACAATTTTATGCTGCCACCAAATGATATACAAGTATTCACTGCTATAGGTAGATGTGCCTTATGTACTAATACAAAATTTGAAAAAAATATGCAATTGTTTAGATTAAAATAAATGCCACATATGCCTATCTGTAGCTATTGTATGTATCATATGTTACATATGTATAGTCTATTTATCACTTCAGTGTCTAGCTACTTCATTAGCATACACAACTCTGACAGAATGTGTACTACAATCTTTTAAAAAGAGTGTTAAATAATCAGAGAGACTAAATCATTACTTGTTTTAATACATAGACATGATGTGTGGCTGATATGATTAGGCAAACAAAACTTTATTATAAACTTACTTTAGAAGATTAGCATCAAATGAGCCCATACCTTTAAAATGTATTAAAGGCTAATGACAACATTCTGCAACCAGCTCTATTAATGAACGAGATAAAAAGGTCTGAAATCTCATCAAATACCTAAACATAAGAGCTAAAACTATAAAATGCTTAAGAAATAACATAAAGCTAAATGTTTGTGATTTGATTTGATGATGACTACTTAGGAAACAAAAGGCACTAACAATAGAACGATGATAAGTTGGACTTTATCAAAAGTAAAAATGTGTGTGACCTAGAGAACACATGAAAGATTAGGGCAACTCATAGAATAAGTGAAAATACTTATAAGTCCAATAACTATTTCAATACACACACACACACACACACACACACCAGTCAATAAGAAATTGATAAAATAATCTAAAACTCTTTCTTCCCAGGAGATTATAAATCAAAACCACATGATATTGTCATGGCACTCTCAAAGAACAGATGTAAAGTTTACTGGTGAATTTGGAAAAATCGGAACTTCCAATATATGTAAGAAAAAATGATGCAACTGGTGTTGAAAATGAGTTTGGATTTTCATCAAAATATTCAACATCTCAGATTCACCAGAGTGAACTGCAAACACATACATTAAAAAAGTTGACACGAATGCTTATAGAAACATTATTCACATTGTCCATCATTTGAAATGAAACACTGATATTTTATGAATGGCTATTTCATGCATAAGCCTCAAAAATAGCTAGTCTGGAAAGAATAAATATAAAATATCATTTGTATACTTTGAAGAGAAAAACATTAGTAGTTTCTCAGACCTAAGATGAGTGTGGTAGAATTGGAGGTAGGCTATGGTTTCATTTCAGAGGAAATATGTTCTGTGATTGACTGTGATGATATTATATCTCTATGTTACTTAAACAGTAAGGTGTTACATTTTAAGTTACTGAAGTATAGAGTATATGTATTGTATCTCAATGAAATTAGAAAAAATTATTACATTACTTATTGAATACTTTCTTAAGGTCCAGTGCTGCTCTTCTTGGGTCATATTTTAAGAACTTCTGAATCAAGTGATCTTTAGTTTACTCTTTCCTTTTGCTCCTAAATTGCAATTTTATAAAAAGATTTCCTTTAACTCTTAATTCTGTAACATTTTCCTTTGTATATGCATTATACTTTAGAGACTAACTGCCAGTGGTTTGAGCTCAAAAGAAAGCTTTATTTTTACTCTTTAGGATGAAGAAGAGGATCTTAGGACTGAACTCAATCTGCTGAGGAAGTACTCTTTCCACAAAAACATTGTGACATTCTATGGTGGATTTTTCAAGCTGAATCCCCCTGGCCATCAGCACCAACTTTGGGTATGTTTTTCTTTGTCCTGGTCTTGTTCCATAAGAAAAGTCAAACACTGTGAAGGAGATAAGGTGTGATATTTGCTTTCCTACTAGAAAACTTAAGTCCTCAACTGTTCACGATAGTATAGTGAAATGTATTCTGACTCCTTGAGGCAGTATAATATAAGAAATGGAAAGACTAACTTCATTGCCAGGCAATGTGGGATAGAGACAGACACAAATGAACACTGTTAATTTAAGATTCAAATTTTAAATTATAGCTAAATGCATCACTGATTTGTCATCGTGCCTGGACCATTATAAATGTTACACCAGTAAAGACATAAATTTCAGTAACTAACTGGAGCCTAGTATAACTAAGCCATAGTTACTTGAATTTTTCCCATGCTTTACTATCTTAGATAATGAATTTCAGTCAATAATACCTTGAAAAACAGAGTACTTGGGATATAAACTGGAATAATGTAGTTTTAGGGTCTTGTAGTGTTAGTTAAAAGTTCTATTGTACACATTACATTGAAGTTCACATTTTGGCTTGAATCAGAATCTTCTAGAGAACTTTCTATAACACAGTACTGGCCCTCTTTTGCAGACATTTACATCATATAGGTCTGGAATGTGTGTGAAATTTGTGTTCTCTAGTAAGTTCATAGATGATACTGATGCTGCTAGTTTAATAATATCATTCTTAGGATTGCTAAATTTAACAATTTCCAAATCAACTCTGTTTTTCTCAAATATCCAGGTAACTAGAATTTTCTGAAAATAATATGTGATATTTTCTTGACTATTGTTCCACAGCTCTAATTGTTACTTATTTGCTATTTAGATATATACTATATTTTCATAAAATATTGACAAAATTTACCTTTCCCACAATATGAAAAGTTATTAGAAATATTGAGTCTCATTATCAAATATATTAGTACTCTATTCATTCAGTCATTCTAGCCTGTTAAAATATGAAAACAAATCTAATATCAACGAGCTGTAAATTCTTTGAAGACTTCCATATCCAGGCAAATTTGCCTCTCAAATATCTGTTCCTTTCTTTTCCATTATCTCATATTCAGGTTTCTCTTCCCCAAAAATTTTTCCAATGATATTTGTTCTTACTTTTTTAGCATAAACTTGAATGACCTTCTTTCGAAATATCTTGAACTACAACCTAAAAAACCTACGATTGAAGTATTAGTTGAAATCCCCCCTGCTGGTGAAAACATTCCAATGTGTTTTCTGGTTTACCTTCTTCCACATTTTCTCATTCCACTACTGTAATTTTCTGAAATGGTTCACACTTTTGTGGTTTTTGTTGCAGATGGTAATGGAGCTATGTGCAGCAGGCTCGGTCACTGACGTGGTGAGGATGACAAGAAATCAGAGTTTAAAAGAAGACTGGATCGCTTATATCTGCCGAGAAATCCTTCAGGTGAGTATTCAAATCATCTTTGTCCCTGTGCTTAAAAGAACCTAACTCTAAATATATAACCTTATAATGTTGCATAGCTAAGAATTTTAGACATAACCCGTGAATAAGGAAACCTAAAAGGCCAAAATACTGAGATCAACACCTTGAACGTCTCTCTTTGAGATTCTCACTACTATGTTCACCAGATCATGGAAGTGACATCATGGCTTAACTATATTTTTAAGTGTTGAGGTATCATGGATTAAGATGAGGACTAGTCAGGAAAACTTAGTGCTCTACAGTGTGGTCCCAAACTATTTGCATTCTTTTAAAAAGACACGTATCTTCTTTGAATATAGCCCCCAATTTTTCTTTAACTTCTAACATCTAGTTAGATAAAAGCAATGAGCTTAGGTCAGCCAAATTCTATTGGTGTTCAATAAGTAAGTCATTAGGGTCACCCCCCGAAAAAGGATATTAATAAACTGAAGAGCACCCCCAAAACCTTTGGAATGTGATTCTTCTCATTTTGTTTGGATGTCTTTTTAATAACAATGGAACTGTTTTAAGAGTATAAACCATACACCGAATTTGGATTTTAATTCATCATATATAATTTCTATGACCTAAAATCAATTTCTTGCTTTCCCCAGCTCTCATTTTCTTTATCCATAATATGGGAGGATGGCATGCTCCCCAAACGGGTTCTGTGACAACTTAGTAATGACTCCATCTAAATATTTAGCACAATGTCTGGCACAGTATCAAAGCTCAATAAATGTATTATTAATGCCCAACTTGTTTCTGGCATGATCTCACTGAAGCATAATACTGCATACCGTGTCATGGTTTAGCCAGGTCATGGGGTTCTCAGTAGTGAATAGGCTGGAGCCAACATGGTAAGCCAACAAAAATTGTACACATTTTAAAATGAATTTCCACATTCCCTCAGATTCTAGGCCTACAGGCCTCACTAGAAAATATTTTGGACTAAACAAATATTTGGATAAGAAATAGAACAAAATAGTTAATAGTTAAGATGCCCAGGTCTTTACTGTCATGCCTACTCAGAAATATAGAGGCTGTAAAGGAGGATAAAGTTTCCCAATCTATATAAATATTACTTTTCAGTGTTCTTTTTCTTTCATGAGTATTCTGATATATTTTCCTTTACTTATAGCCAAAAGAAGTATTTCTGGGAACTGGTTGTAGTCATTCCAGCCTAAAGAATTTTGTTTAAAAAACCAAATGTGGACCATTTTTCTTAACAAAAGGTTTTTCCCCCCAAAGCACTTTAAAGCACTACCAAAAATCTGGAAAAAAATACGTATCTAGATACTAACTTGACTTTTAAAATATGTATGTATGTACAGGGCTTAGCTCACCTTCATGCGCACCATGTAATTCACCGGGACATCAAAGGGCAAAATGTGCTGCTGACTCATGAGGCTGAAGTCAAAATAGGTAAGTTCCTTCTTGCAGTGGGTTAGGTGAAGCAGAGAGCTAAGACAACTGCCTTGTAACATATCAGCACCAATATAGCTATTTGGGTTTTCTTGATACTTTATTTGGCAGGGAGATGGCATGAAAGTAAAATGGAAGTAACTAATTATTTCTTTGAAACTGCAGATAAACAACTTTAATTATGATGAAAGTTTTGCGTTTTGGTCACTTATTGCTTTATACTATGTTAGAGATAGCTGTCAAACATATTTCAGTGATTGAATCATGGCAAGTATTAATTGTTTTTAAAAGATTTCCCATTATAGAGCCATATTTTGAAGAATATGACATAGCTTTTGGTTACTAAAACATAATTTGCTTATTTGCATTTATTCCTTGAGTTTTTATTGATCAGAAGTGATGTTTCTGCTATATGCAAACCAAATTCTGAATTTCCCGTTTTCTTGCTAAATAAGTAGAGCCAGAATAGAGATTATTGTCATTGATTACAAATATTTATGTTCAATATTTGCAACAAATGAGGCAGTAATTGTGTGTTATGAAATAACAGTAGTTTTGAGAAAATGTATCATGTCTTGAATGCATAAGCTACAAAACTAGCAATATAATTTTAAGAAGCTATACGGAAATATATAAAATGCACATAGATCTTACACTCAAATACACAAGAGTGATTCTTAACTCCCAAGCTAGGTGTATCCTATGTGCATAAGCTTGAGTCATGTTGCTGGTAGCCCCAAATATTTGTAACATGAAACAAAAATTACAAGTGTAGAGTAACTTAAATATCTGTTTCAAAGTCCATTCACTTAATGTTAATATAGTTTATTCATGAAGAAAAACCTTATAGTGTTAGCTTAGAACTGAATTAGGCTTATTTGATGCTTAATCCTTACACATTTTCATTTAGGTTCATCAGCTAATATGTTTTAAACAATATACATGAATAAAATATTTCAGAAGGCAAACATAATGATAGCCAAAAAAAGTGACATCAGGAAAGACATTGTAGAATGACAATAACCTCCATAATCTCTTCCCTGGGTGATTAATGAAAATATACATTACTGTTGAGTTTTCTTTTGAGTGCTGTGTTGTTGCTGCTGTCGTTTTGAAACAAAGTCTGTGTAGCTGCTGTTGTCCTGGAACCAGCTCTGTAGACCAGGCTGGCCTCAAACTCAAAGATCTGCTTGCCTCTGCCTCCCGAGTGCTGGGATTAAAGGTGTGTGCAACACCACACCCAGCTTCATTGTTGAGTTTTAAACTCTTCATCTTATAATTTTTTTTACCTTTTGAAAACATGTATTTGTCATTATTTCTTCTAGATTTTATCTATTTGCTTTCCATGCATGTATGAGCATACCAGTTTATGGCCTTCATAGGTATTTCTTGGCTCTTAAATTGGGATATTAGAGCAAGTGAGAATGTTGAGTTATTATGTAAAGATAAACTTTTGTAAAGCCTAGATAGTGAAAGTTTACAGCAAAGAAAAATCCTCAAAAATATTTTAAATATTTCTTCCTCTTCTTCGATGCTTTCTGAAAGACTGCCTTAAACTATTAATTTTGCTTCATTTTTCTTTGATTCCACTAAATTATTCAAGCTGCTTTTCAGTTATTTTGTTCACCATCTTCCAGATTCCCAGAAACCATTATAAATTTGAAAATCTACTTCATATTTCATCCCTGTCTTATTGTTTTTGGAATCAATAACCCTAGTCTACATCAGCATTTTTTCTGTCTGTTTCTCAGGATACCATACTAAATATTTTCTTACAATGTATCCCACAGAAGAATGGGAAAATAAACTTTTTTTAGAATAAAGCTAAGATGTAGATAGCCCAGATAATAGTTGCACCTAATTCAGGAGACATCTATAGTAAATTAACTTCTACCAGGAAGCTCATTTTTCCTTATCAGTGGGATTGGAGTTTCCGATGTCATGCATGAGGCTTTCTAGCTAACTGTTAACAGGAATGGCACTGCTAAGATGTGGCTCTCAGTGCTATTCATCCTCCAGCTTGGTGGCAGATCCAAGCTCTGCATATGCCATATGCCACATCTTAGCAACCAGTGAAACTTTATTTTTAATATTCATGATAAACATTTATCCAAACCTACATTAAATTTATAACAGTACTGTTAGGTCTCATTCCAACATAAATAGCAGCTAAAGCTCATTTCTCAGTATTCCTGGAGACGACTTCATGGTAAAGTTTTCTGGGCCAGAAATAAAATTTGTTATCCATTGTGGCTTTTGTATTGCCTTTCCAAGTTAAAGCAATAACTTATTGAGATTTGTGTTCCTGATTAATTATTTTGACATATGTAGTGGATTTTGGAGTGAGTGCCCAAGTGAGCAAAACAAATGGACGGAGAAATAGCTTCATTGGTACACCGTACTGGATGGCTCCCGAGGTGATTCACTGTGATGAAGACCCAAGACGTTCCTATGATTACAGAGTGAGTATGATAATTCAGACAGAGAGGACTCAAATTTTTGAGGGCGAATGACTACATTTATTTTATATTTTAAGATTTATTTTATTTATGTGTATGTATGTGTCTGTGCAAATGTACACACACATTATGTCCAGGTGTCCATGGAGGACAGAAAACAGTTTGGAATACCCTGTAGCTGGAGTTAAAATTATTTCTCAACCCTGTGACCATGAGTGCTTGGCTCTGAACACTGGTCCTAATGAATAAGCAATAAACGCTCTTAATTACTGAGGCTTCTCTCCAGCCACAGCTACATCATATTTGAATGATAAAAAGAATATAAAGTAGATCTTCCTTCTGAATAAACACAACTAATCAGAAATTGTAGCCTCTATTTCTACATGTGATTTCATAGTATGAATAAAAATAGTATTTTCTAATAATGAAGACAAAGTAGAACATTGGCACTTTCTCAGAATCAAGAGGGAATATCTAGTTCATGTTGCTGGCAACTTCTTTATAAAAATAAATTAGATGGTTTCAATTGGAATTTTAACTTCCAAGAACAGAGAAATTTGTAAACTCGTTGAAATGAGGCCAGGCCTGGGGCCTAAAGACTGCAATCTCAACTACTTAGGCAGTTAAGACAGGAGTATTAAGCCTGCCTGGGCTACAAAATGAGTCTGAGATCAGGTTTTTATCACAATTAAGAGTGACAAACAGGGCTGATGATATAGGTCAGTGATAGAGAGTCTGGCATTCATGAAGCCCTAAATTTAATCAGCAGTTCCACACATAAAGAATGAATATAAAGCAAATAATTCATACTTATAAGTTCAAAAATATAAATAATAATTTCCTTCCTTGGTGTACTGGAGATAGTAGTCATTGGCATTTGGTTGATCTCCAAAACCCCAGAAAAACAAGGGAATAGAAAACAATAACTTGTGCTGTATATTAACATTTCTACTGAAATTTCTATTTGAAGTGCACATATACACATATGTGTATACAACTGTTTATTACAATAAGTTAATATGGAAAGGAGCAAAGCTCCCCATGTGCCAAAAACTAGAAAAAGAAAACCTCATTCAACCACGACATCACAAGTCTTCCAATCAATTCACTCTGATATCGTTTTGTAGCACGCAGAACTCACTATCTGAAATAGATCAGTATAGATTTCATCTCTTAGCCTTTTTTTCCAATCATGTTTGCTTGTTATGTAAAGTAATTATTTACTGAGAGCCTATCACAGTTTTGGTATTACATTGGGAGCTAGGAAGACGATGGGAATAAAGTTCTTTAACTCATTTTCTGCAAGGCATGGTGCCTTATGTCTGTATAAATTTTACCGTCTTCTAAGTATGTTTAACCCCTTGCTTTTATTATTTAATCTCAAAATAATTAAAAGAAACCTAAAGCTTGGAATGTCTTAAGAAGCAAAGTTAAGCTATCTGTAAGTTGAGGCTCTAAAACTAGAGGAAACTGTTTTAAGAGTCAGCCAGTACACCACAAGTAAGGTGCCCTTTACCTTTTTCTAGAGCTACATTTTATTTAAGTATGGTCTCTGTGCTCATGCACCTGCCTGCATGTGAGTGTATAAAAGTACACATGTGGAGTTCAAAGGACAAATTGCAGAAGTCTGTTCTCTCCTTTCAAAATGTGAATTCTAAGGACTGAACTCATATCAGTAGGTTTGGCAGCAAATGTCTTTACCCACTTAACCAGCCCCTTTTCCATACTTAGAAAAACTAAATACAGATAATAATGGTGAAGATAGTTGATAAGAGCTTCATTGATTGTATTCCAGTAACTATTGAAATGTGTACCTAATAGTTAATAAGAAATATTTCAACAAATATAGTTTATATGTAGCATAATTTATATATTAATGTTTAACCTATAAATGTTAGGTATATCTATATGTCTATTTATATATTAGATGTACATATATATGAATACATTTATATATTATATGTGTGTAGATGTGTATATATCTACCCATGTCTACATATGTGCACATATCAATTCTATAAAGAAGCATTCTACATTAAATGAAATGGAGATACACAGAATTAAATCACTTATTCTACATCACACATTATAGATCTTAATATTAAGACTTCATTATGAAGTTACTTTTTATATTTAAAGTTCAGCATGACTAGAAATGTATGCAAGATGCATTTACCTTTCACTGAACATCATTCTGCATGAACTTATGGTACAGTGAAGTGTTGGCTAGTCACAAACTCAAATAATGTCTTCCTGTAACTTTAGTCTATAATGAAGCTTCAGTATAGAAACACATCAAATGGCTGTAGAATTGATATTTAATCCCAGCCAAAATGCTTTTGAGACTCCTAATACTAATTTTCCATTTTGAGAGGTTTTTTACTATCTTTTTTTTTTTTAGAGTGATGTATGGTCTGTGGGAATCACTGCTATTGAAATGGCTGAAGGGGCTCCTCGTAAGTATAAATGTTTGATATATTTGATGTATCTCACAGTTTGTGGGACTATACTGTACAAATTTGTCTCTCTGGAGTATGATGCTACCATTTGTAACAGACAGCTTTAATTTGGCTACACATGCATCATATTATGTGCCAAACCATAAATGGTAGTTTGTCAATTATGACCAATATTTTGTTAAAAATCATCTTATGTAAATATATGATACATGTCTTATTATTTTATGTTTCTTCTATCTTATCTTCGATATCTACATCTCTGTCCATCTCTTCAAATTCAGAATATGATACTTGGCATTAATTTGATTTTGAGGAATGAATAACAGACTCAGAGTAGGAGGGCAGAAAAATTTTGCACAGAGATTGCAAATGACAAGCTTCTTTGGAAATATACGTTAGGGCCAGGAGATTCTGAACACACAAGGAGATAGGCCATCCTGCCTAGATGAGTAGCAAAAATGACTTTAATCATAAGCAGCTCTAGATCTCCTCCCTATCAAATATTGCTCTTTCACCACTATCCTTTGCCTGGAGTATGAACTCTGCATGAGAACAATACTCGTCAAGTTAACTGTTGCAATCTTCTAGGTTTTCACAATTAGCATCTCAAAGGGGATAGTTTTCCAAAACTACAGTTATCAGATGGTATCTTCCAAGATTTAGGTGAGAAAATGATCATCCTTTGAGCTTTGATATATCATCAGGGTCTTCCAGAGAAATAGAGAAAAGGCAGAGGAAACCCTTATCAGGGAGAGGGTGCTTTAACAATATCCTTTTGGATATCAGGGCCTTCTTTAGTTCGTATGTTATAGGTGGTGACTTAAGCAATGTAGGGGCATTTTCACCAAGGCTGGAAGATTTATAGCAGCTTTCAAACACCACAGTAACTTACGGCATAATTTGAAGAGATGTGTTTCTTAGGCTCTGCCTTTTTTTTTGTGACACGATAAAACCTCCTCCTGCACACCAGGAGAATTTAATTTCATCTGCACCAAATATTTCCCTATTTTCACATTCCCTTGGATATTACATGAAGTAGTTTTAATATTGTTGGCCAGATTTCTAATAGCTGGGGTTTTTTCCATTTTTTATTAATTTGTTAACCAGGTAATGAAGATACTGACTTGATATAATGTTGCTATTAAAATAAAATTTGTTATTAGTTATCATACATTTATTTATCTGTTCATCTTTTAGAGTCTATTTAACAGGATATGTGAATGAGACTGTAGAATGAGAAGTGGGCTCTGCAGGCACTTTTCGTGTTCTTCCTAAATGTATCTGTTTCCCTTCACAGCTTTGTGTAACCTTCAGCCTCTGGAAGCCCTTTGTGTTATTCTACGGGAAGCCGCTCCCACAGTCAAATCCAGTGGATGGTAAACAAGAATTTCTTAAATATACTGATTTAGGATTTTTATAAAGAAATTTTCATTGATTTGATCATTCTCATTTCGACATTTTTTTTGGACAATACTTCCTGTAATCCAGTGTCTTATGTTGGATGTCAGTATTTTTTTTATCCAAATATGGGTGATTAACTAGAAATCCTCCATAATACACGATGAGGATATTACAGTATTTTTCTTAATGGACACTTTCAGCTCCTTCTAAAGCAATGAAGTGAAGGGAGCAATGACACCCATATGTGATGTTTGTCATGGTGCCTAGACATGCAGTCAGTAACTTTGATGTACAGCCCTATTGGTTGGCCCATTAAATTAAACATCCACAGACTTGAAGAACCGCTCTGCATTACTGCAGACCATGAGAACTGTGTTTTATGAAGCTTAATCCAGCTAAATTCTTGCTTACTGTGATTAGTAAGAGTTGACAATTGTTCGATTGTTGGTATTTCTTTTCTTGAATTCACTTTAACTGTTTACATGGATTTAGCTGAATCTCTTTGCATGTGTTTTTTTTTACAAGCTTACTTTGTACTGTTTATCAACACCTGCTTTTGGAATCAGATGCCACACTGAATCTTTTAATTGCCATCTGATTATATGAGCTTTATCATGTACCTGCTGCTGAACCCATGGATATTTCTAGTGTTGAGTGAAAAGTCTGTTAACTCAACTTCTATTTCTGAGGCTTACCTGACATCATTGTATCATGTATATTGTTAAGACATAGGCTATTTCCTAATTGAAAAGACAATTGTAGTTCTAACAAGTCTTTCAGAATCTATGACCTTGAAAGCAGCACAGTAGTGGAGTAGGAGCAGCACAGCAGGAAAAATGGTGTTGTTCATTTCTATGTTTCATTTCTTTCAGGTCCCGTAAGTTCCAGAATTTCATGGAAAATTGCATGATAAAAAATTTCCTATTTCGTCCGACATCTGGAAACATGCTTCATCATCCATTTGTCCATAACATAAAAAATGAACGACGTGTTGTGGAGTCCTTGACAAAGCATATTACTGGGATCATTCAAAAGAAAGAGAGAAAAGGTAGAAACCACAAAGCTTTGTATCATTCAGATAAGATATGAGATCTTACATTTATTTATTGTTTTGAGTTTTAAAGTATTTGTTAAGGAATTAAGTTTTGGAGTGCAGGGGCAGCACTAGAGAGTTGGTTCATTTATGTGCCTCTGATCTAATGCTATGGAGACCGGCATCATACAGGCCATTCTCAAATCACTAGAGGAACATCAGCCACAATTCGCTGAAATCTAGAGGTGCAAGATTTCAAAATAATGTTATCTACAGAAAAAGTCTCATTTCATTAGCGATATCTCCACAAATGCAATTATAGCAGTCCTAGGCAATTTAACACAAGGAATCAGAAGAGAACTCTCATTTCTAAGATGCCACATTTCAGTAATAACATCATGGTTCACAGGAAATAAGCTGAATGCATTAAATATATTAAATATAAAACAAACAAAGGCAGATTACTTAGAACACTGATGTAGATCGCCCCTCTGTCAAGGTGGGTTAGCTGAGGGAAAAGCACTTAAACAACTTCAGGGGGAAGCCAAGGTGTTTAGGTTACTGCAAGCTCAGGATCTTACTCATAAACTAAGCCTCTCTTGGAGCAGACTCAGCAGACTCAGGACCATCAGTGAGCATATAGGATAGCTCAGGCATTCATGGTTCTATAGGTCAAATCCACATCATCAAGTGGTTCTTGTCTTTTTTCTTCCTTTATCTCATTCTACCTTTTCATGAAGGCAGCCATCAGGTTGCTAAGATGTTTTTCCTTCTGTCCAGAAAAATTAATCTGCCTGAAGTATCTCTACTGTATTTCAAAACTATACCTAGCAATTTGTCAACATCACCAGCAAAGTATGTTTGAAGAGCTCTGTTACTTCTGACCTTCTTACCCATAGCAATTCACTCTATGTCCTGGGCTTTAGAAAGTTGCGAAGTCACTAAGGTGAACCAAACAGTATTTATGCATTACTTCCTTTTCTCTTTTTCACACAAGGAATGCCTGTGGCCCTCGAAGGAGAAGAAGTTATTAATGAACAGTGCATCACAAGGAGATTAAGGTGTGTTGAGAAAACTCAATTTATAATTAGATGATAGCAGGTTACCTAAGAAAATAGACTTAATACTATTGACTTCTACTCAAGATGACTTAATCTTATTTGGTACAAAACAAAAACACAAAACGCACCATATTTCTGTTTCTATGAGATATTGTGAGAAAATATTGAACATTTTTGTTACTGTTCTGAAATGACATATATTAATAGATTGATCAAGTAGAATACCAACCTACAGTAAGGATTTAATCCATCAGCAGCATTACACATTACCTACAGAATATTTCAGACATTGCAAGGATGAATACAGAAATATTTGTTATCTTTCTTGGTCTATCTTTTAAAAATTAAAGCAATTATCAGGCATGACCTAGTTCCAGTAAAAACTCTTTATATGTCATTATTCTGTATGCTTATTTTAGAGGACCTTCTTGCACTCCTGAACTTTTGAGAGTGCCAAACAGCAGCAGATGCAGACCACTCAGAATTGTGAATGGAGAACCCTCTCAGCCAAGGTGGTTACCTGATGAAGAAGAGCCACAGGACCAAGAACTTCAACAACTGCAGGAGGCAGCCAATGTGTTCATGCCTCTACATTCTCAGGACAATATACCTAAGCCTTTCCAAAAGCAGGCTCAGGTTCCACAGTGTCTATATGGGGCAGTTCAGGTGTGCATGCCAGTACAGGTACAGGTTGAAGCAACAGCGTCTGCATCTCTAGTTACAAAGATTCAGGCACCTCCCCAACTAAGCAAAGCAGCCCAGGTGTGCATGTCACTGCCTACTCAGGATAACCAATCTAGTTCTCCAGAAGTACAGGCCCCCATACCAAACGAACAGCAGGAGGCCTCAGAAACAGAACAGCCTAAAGATTTGGACCAGGTACCAGAAGAATTTCAGGGGCAAGACAGGGCGCCTGAACAGCAAAGGCAGGGCCAGGCTGCTGAACAACAGCAGAGGCAGAATCCAGTTCCTGAGCAGCAACCAGAGCAGAACAGGGAACCTGAGCAAGCTGAGGTACAAGAAGAGGCTGTTGAGCCTCCACAAGCTGAGATTGAGGATAAGGAACCTGAGGTAATACAAGTGCATGCCCAGGTGTTCCTGCCTTTACTGTCCCAGAACCATCATGTGCTCCTGCCTCTTCATCTGGATACACAGCTGCTAATTCCAGTAGGGGAACAAAATGAAGAGGCACCTCGTGCACAGGCCTGGGATCTAGAGGACTCAAGGGCAGTTGGCGCAGTGCAAGCACTGATAGAGGGACTATCCAGGGACTTGCTTCGGGCACCAAATGCATATATCTCAAAACCGCTTGGTCCACTGCAAATCTTCTTGGAAAATTTGTCTACAGATGGATTTTACACTGAACCAGAACCGACACAGAAGAAAAAATCAAAAGTTGCTAGTCTAAAGAAAGCAATAGTCAAAAGACTAAGACCCAAGAGATTCAGGGCAAAGGCATTATGGAGACTTGAGGATTTTGAGTGCTCAGATGTAGAAGCCAGCAGGAGAAGGCGCCATCGTAGATGGGAGGAGATCTTTAATCAGCATGAAGAGCAACTGAGACAAGTTGAAAATGTAAGAGATTTTTGATATTTTTCCTGAGTGAAAACTACTGAAAAAATATGCTAGTTATTGCTTGCATATTTTCTCTGTGAAACCAAACAAAACTAATATTCCATGTTGTACCAACGATTTACTAATTTGCACTTGAAATGATTCATTCTGAAATCTCCAGATAATTGTGATCAAAAGAAGAAAAACTGCTTTACTAATACAACTAATGGTTTAATGTATCTCTATAGGAGTCGTGGCTTAGTTATTAGGGTTTTATTTTGCTTTGTTTTACCTTTTGAAATTACTCCCTTAACCAGTAAATGGTTAGCATACAAACACTTAAAATAACTATTTTGACTTGAGACATTCCTAATTTAAAATTCCAAAGTTGCCTCAATTTTTATGTCTCTAATTCTGGGGCTACAGAGATGAATAAACAGATAAAAACATTTACTGCTCTTACAGAGGACATGGGTTCGTTTCTCAGAACCCTACATGGCAGTGCATAACGGCTTGTAAGCTGTCTTCCATGGCTTTCTGCACACATTTGGTATACATGAATTAAAGTAGCTAAATACACATAAATAGATTTTTTTTCAATTTGAAGTTGCTTATTTGTTATTTCTTGCCATAGAATGAAGGATTGCACTATTTGTGTGAATTGCATTAATTCGTGCTTTGGGATTTTAAAATTGAGGTTAAAATAAAAACAAAAAGTAAGGACTAGAGAGATGGTTCAGAGGTTAAGAGTACACTTTCACAGGACTCAGCTTCAGTTTCCAGTACCACATGACAGCAAACAACCATCTAGAACTCCAGTCCCAAACAATCTATTACCCTCTTCTGATCTCTACAAAAACTGTACACCACCCATACAAATAAAGCAAAACAAAAGTAAATACATCTCTTCTGAAATGAAGACAAAACTCATTTCCAAAACACTTTGTATATAGCTGTCACATTTATAACTTGTCTTCTTAGTGATCCTATGCTTTTATGTAATTGTTCAATGATGTGACCGCACAGAACAGGGAACGAGTAGAACTTGACTTCTCATTTAAGAAGAGTCAATAAAATTTCAAAGCTCCCATATGTAGGTGGATAAAGTTTGACAGGCTTTGTAGAATTTTATCTGGCACTATTTATTTGACAATGAATAGTTTATAGGTTTAATAAGCAAATTAGTAAGGTCAATATAGATTAGGAAAGCAGTTGTTTTCTAATAATTTTCAGTATTCATTTATATAAAAGTAACTGTTATATGCTGATTAGCATCCACATCCACTTAATAATAACTGATGTAGTAATTACAAATGAACCTTTCCCGAATAGCTAGATAAGTTATAATTTGGGTTTGTGCACATTAAGCCAGTTAAGCAATTGGTAACTTCCTGGCACATTTACATAAGAAAGGATTTGAAAAAGTGAAAGGAGAATGAGCCAAAAGGGCAAATGGATGCATCCCTGCCAGAATATAAGGAGATAGAAATCGTATGAGTCTGAAACCATGGTCTGTGGCCAGAAATAAGGCATATAACTTGCTAATGACTGTTCTCAATGAGCTCTCTAAACCAATTAGAGCTAATGGGATTTGCATTAGTGAACAAGACTTGTATTTATCCTGGAAATATGCCCAATATTAGCAGCAGAGAATATACTTACTGTAATTGTTTTTAATATATATGTGAGAAGCTACTTCAAAATAGAACTAAGTCAGTTAATAATTGTTAGCAACCCTATGAGCCTAGGTTCTCATATAGACATCCGTATATATGTCTCTCTGTGTGTGTGTGTGTGTGTGTGTGTGTGTGTGTGTCTATTCCTTATGGAATACATAAAGGAAATAAAATTATCTATACTACAAAAAAGTCACAGTTCTTTTGAAATATGTAAAATTTAATTAGAATTTATGAACATGTCTGAGTGCTTTGCCATACCAGTTTGTAAGATGCATATATTTTCATTATAATCTGTACGTGGAAGAGGTAATAGTGGCTGAATCATTTGATTGAACTCTGAGAGCTTAATTTAGGAGGAAAGTTTGGACTCTATATCACAGATCTTCCTCTACTTAGAACCAAATTTTGGAGTTATAACAGCTTACTAAATGTGAAAAGTTAGGGTGTGATTATGTGTTAATCAAACATTAAATCAGATTCTTAATCTGGATCCCAGAAATAAGCTTCAGGAAACTAGCAGTTCACCCAAAAATTTATGCAAATGTGTGTCTATATTCAGTTTTCTATGGACAATCTGTACCTTTCCTTAGATTTTTAAAAAGGATCCCTAACCAAAAATTATTAGAAACTGCTGGTTTAAATAATTTCTAAGTCTTTGGAAATTATTCGTCATGGTTACAAAATAAGATGATTCTGTTGTTCTTATCACTTGCACACTCATAATGATTTAAATATTTATATTATTTTTTGTTTCAAAGGATAGAGAAGATGACTCATCAGACAATGATGAAGTGTTTCATTCAATTCAGGCTGAAGTCCAAATAGAACCACACGCTCAAAATCCTACAGGAAATGAGGTAAAGATCTCAATATGAGTTGTTATGACATTAATAAGTACCTAGAAAAGTGCCTCTTAAACTTAATGGTCTCAGGATCCCTTTATAATCTTAAATATTGAGAATTGTATAAATCTTTTCCATTATGTCATTCACTATCTAACTTACTGAAAATTAAAACCAAAAAGGTATAAATACATTTAACATAAGTAAATATAAATGAAAAATATTTATTTTGCCCAAAACATTATTATACAGATGTCATTGTCTCCTATTTTCAGATCCTTTTAATCTGTCTTGCTTAATAGAAAACAGCTGGATATTCATATCTACTTCATAATTCAATCTGTGGCCATATGTTGTTTTGCTTGAAATATATGTGTAAGAGCTCGCTTAGTACATAGAGATGGTTAGAAAGAGGAATTTGATATAAATTTTTCAGGTAATTGTGACTGTTGTAGATTTTCCTTCAGTCTCCTTCAAATACTTGTGCATATTCATTGGTAACATGCCCAAACTAGCCAAATAGAATCGAAAACAGTACTAGTAAAATACTGTGTTCCTACAAAAATTCATTGTCTTGTACTCTGAATAGAGATTTCACTTATACGTGATTTCTGAATTCATCTAGTCATCAATTTGAAAACATTACTTCACTGTGTATATAGATTCTCCCAAGTGTTTACATTCCATTTCACAATATCAGAGCAGCATTTGAGCAGCATTACCAATGTTTACCATAAATGTAACTGAGTATTCATAAGTTGTCAAGTGTTCAGTGACAGATACTAATTTACACTTCTAATTTTCCTTTGAGAGCTCATGTTTTTATCATTGCTGGCAAGTGGCTTCGCTTTGATTTTTTTTCTTCACTTTGCAAACTTATTTTGTTTAAAATATCTAGCATATGCACATAGTTCATATAAGAAGGCTTTTCAGGAATTTTTTAAATATATTATTTCATATTAAAATGTGAGTAGCTCACTGTGGAACATAATCATATATTTTTACCATGATTCTCTCTGTCCCTGATAGACTATTTATCACAGATCTAAATCAGTCTATGATTCATTTTCTCACACTTGAAAAATTAAATGATGTCAGGGTGACTTCAGTTTTAATGACCACTTCAAATAATACAGTATTTACAACATGTATGAGGGACATGTGTTGTAAATGAGTTCACTTTCTTATACAGAGATGGTAGCATTAACTTGATTTGGTTCATAACAGCCAACATTCCCAATTCTTCTTAATCACTGGAATTATTTAGTATATAAATAAATAACTCTGACTTTCTTCTGATGATGGTGGGTTAGGAGTCACATTTGTTGTACACAATCATCACAAGATACTTCACAGAAGTCCACTATGAAAGAATTGTCAATGCTTTTGCAGTATAGTTGCTTAGAAACTAAATGTTGTATGACTAAAATTATTGATTTATAAATACTAAATATTTACAGAGGGATCATAAGTTGGATTGTGTTCGTTAATGAAAATAGTCAATAGTGTCTCCTTTGTTGCCGTAACACATGGCTTTGCTTGTATTCCCAGATGGTAGTTATTACCTTCAGTTTGACACTAACCAAGACATTCAATGAGCAATGTTTGGATTGGAATGTATTGTGTCTTAATATATGCAGGTCTCACTATTTTCCTTCTCCCATTTTTTCATACCAAAGAATGTCAACTCATATTAAGCCATGTCTTTTCATCTTTTACCATTATAGATGTGTAGCGATTTTTGAAATTTCATTTAATAGTGTCACTTAGTTTCTTGACCTTTCTGTGGTGGCAGTACATACCTG